GTGAAAGACTTGTAATATTCACTGAAAGACTGCCAACTTTTGTGAAGATATACCCAATATATTGAGAATTATAAGTTTTAATTTATAAAGACTTTAAAATGAGTACAAAAGGTCATGTGACTTGGTCAAAGTTACCAACCCCATGTCGAGAGTGTTAAGGTATTTAAACAGACAGTGAATATTCAAAGCTCATTTGGGGTCTTAATAGCAGAAGATGAAAAAAAGTTAAAAAATGAAGAATATATATGGCTAAAATGTGCTTTATTAATTATAAATTCATACCTTGACAGCTAACTAATTGCTTCAATAGAGGAAATTACACTTACTTCTTTTTATTTTTCCTTTTTTCAGCTTTGTCACTTTCCTTTGGCTCTTCTCTAGCAAAACAAAAAGTTGAGAACTTTACATCTACAAACTACACTATAGGAATAAAATAGTAAAACAGCTGGTAAAATAAGTAACATGTATGTATAACATTTTTTACAAACTTTACCAAGTACTTCCTCTTGGGTTCTTTTTAATAATACATTAATGTTTCAACTTTTTATCTAATCGGACTTCAAGGTTTTCTAAAGAAATAAAGAAACACAGTTGTCATAAAGGACAAGTAATACTGAAAAACCTGATCCCCCTCAAAAGAAAGAAGAACCAGCCCCCAGAATAAATGAAACAAAAAGCTGTTTACTGAAGCATAATGTATATTATTAAAGTAACATAAAACTGGATAAACCTCATAAGTTTCCAATGGTACTGCAAGGAATAAAATGGCTTCTAAACACAATTACCAAATGTAACACAATGAATCTAGTAGAAAGAACATAAATTCCAAAACTACAGACATGATTTTTCAAGATTATATTTAGAAGTTAACATTTTTCCTTACCTGAAAATGTATTTCTGGTAGGTACTCGCCTCTTCACACACAATAGCTAGATTCTTTCATGCATCTGCCTATGACATTTGCATACCACTAGCATTGAACTACCTCTCACCCATGCTTAACATAAACTGTGCTAATGCATGATGACATCATCATGTGATGATAGCCCTCCACCAATAGGAATGCATAGTAGTTCTCCCCCTAACTACTTGCATTCAAAATAACTTCATTCTTAGATGAGAAAAGAAGTCCATCAGAAGTAGGGAGAACAGGTGAGACGATGTGTAGAGTATCTATTGGAAATAAATTCTCAGGTAAGGAAAATGTTAACTTCCAAGATGATACCTTCACACACAGAGTAGCTAGAATCCCACAATGAAATGGTAGAGTGACAGGTACAAACATTACATCTATATCAGCTTGCTTCAAAAAGCAGACAAAGGTAAAGATCATGGATTGTGAAACCTGATGACACCCCCCATGGATGAATGCATCTTGTCTCAACCAGATTATACTCGTTGCCTGAAAATAAAAAGAAGGCAAAAAAGCCCCAAGTGTCATAAGGATGGGCAGAATTTTAGCATGACCACACAAACAGCTGAACATAAGTGGTCAGCGAGCCAAGAAATGTATTGTGGACAGACAGAGACGAAAGCAACAAACCCAGCTGGCTACAGGAGGGCACATTATCTGTTTGAAGAATGACCCTCACTATGCAGACAGTGCCACCACTGCTCTACTCCCACATCGTTCTGTACACAATCAGTGAGGAATTCTCCAAGGTCCACCACCCCTGCAGCTAGGAATTGGTAAGAGACAAAACTCTCCCATGCTCCACTTGAAGAAGGGAGAAGTATTTCCATGGGGAGACTCAGAGATGTGCCCGGATACCCATCAGATGGTCGCTGGAGTGGTCTTTTGCTGGAGACAGAACAATGGGTAACCACAAAACTCTATTTCTAAAAGCCAGCAAGCACAAGCCAAAAAAAGTGGGCAAAAACACCTCTCTGGTTCACCTTTTTCCATGATAGTTCATGGAATAGGTACATTCTAGTTCGGTCAATAAATTGAATATATATATATATATATATATATAACTAAAAAAAAAGATTACAAAAAACAAAGAATAGTGTGAAGTTAACACAGCATATCCATACCTTTGTTGAAAGATAATTAATTGTAATATTATGTAGAAAATAAAAGAAAATAGAAACAACGCAGCTACAAAACAAACACCTGGGCACACACCATAAGGTGGGTAGTTATGTAATGTGCACTGGTTTTTGAGGTACTAGCGGAAGTAAGACACTAATTGCGTTAGGGTACAACGTCTATCCAGTTTAACCTCAGTTGACAGTTAACCAGGTGATGACCAGGTCCACCCGGAAAAGCACATCCAAAAGATGTAGAAGATATGCAAGAGAACAAAAAAGGTGACAAATCAAATGCAAAGAACATGGAAATAGTCAGTGAGCATCCACTTCTCAAGATGAACATGTCAATAGATAGTGTGATAGTTGCTGACAAGAAGAGTGATGAACAAGAATTCTGGTAGAGGGAAAACAAGAAAAAAAAGGGGAAGGCCTAGAATTCAGAATGAAAAGATGGGATAGAGACTGACCTAGATGGATTGAAAAGGCAAGGTCAAGAAAGGGGAAAAAACCTGGAAAGATAGCAAGGACAGAAGTCATAATATCTGACTAAGTAAACAGAGGGCACCACTGAAGACATTTGGGTAATGAAAGGGAGTCGGATGAATGAGTACACAAGAAGATGGAAGGGATACACTAAAGATGAACGTAACCCAACCCAACAAGTCCCAAAAGCAGGGAGAGAAACAGCAGAAGAAGTGGAAGAAGCCAAACAGAGAAGTGAACAAATGTCTACAGAAGCCATCAGAAACATTAAGAAGTGCCTCAGATAAAAGGAGGAGGTAGGAAATGGGATACAGAAGGAGAGAGAAAGACAAAAAAATTTGAAATAGGGAAATTAGAAAGATAAATAAAAGGAAAAAGACTTGATCCTCAAGCTATCCCAAAGAATTGGGAAAAGGAAAGAAAGAAAGAAAGCCTACAAATCAGGATAAATGTGAGGGGGGCAAGGCATTCAGACACAAGAAAGTTGCTAGTACATAAAGGAAACAGTATAAAATATAATAACTAGCATGAAGATTCAAATGTGAAATTAGGTGGAAGATGCCTCAAGACTAGTGGCATGGAAATATCTTTGGCAGATGCACACAGAGGAAGATAACTAATCTGTGTGTCAAGGTGAGTTATCATCTTCAAATACTATATTATGTTTATACTTATATAATATACAATATTTATAAGCTAAAAACAGTGTATTCTGTCATTTTGTTGCTTTGTTTCTTTGCTTTACAAGTTAAACACTACATTCTATCAATACATTGTGGTACTTTGTTACCTAAACACTATTCTGTCACTGAGTTGTTTTTCTTTACAAGCTAAACATTGTATTATGGTACTTTATAAGTTAAACTATATTCTATCTCTGTGTTATGTAGCTTTATAAGTTAAATGCTCTTCTATCAATGTGTTGAGTAGCTCTATGAGTTAAACACTATATCCTATCCATATTTTGTAGTACTTTGTAAGTTAAATACTTTCTTTTGTTGTGACACTATAAGGTACAACATTTTGTGATAATCACATTCTTTTATCACTGTGTTGTATCACTTTATACACTAAAGACTATTCTATTACTGCACTGATTCTTTATGAGCTAAACACTGTATTCTATCATTGTACTGCATTTGAGATACATTGGAAATAATGAATATCATTTGTTAGTAGATTCAATCACTTGACAAGTACAGATTTTGTCCAATACTATATTGTAACATACCTAACAAACTTGTAATACAAACTAACATTGTAATTTACAATATAGTATTGGACAAAATCTGTACTTGTCAAGTGTAATACAAACTAACATTGTAATCAGTTAGTTAGGTATGTTACAATATAGTATTGGACAAAATCTGTACTTGTCAAGGTATTGGACAAAATCTGTACTTGTCAAGTGTAGTACAAACTAACATTGTAATCAGTTAGTTAGGTATGTACATTGTAACATACCTAACTGACTGATTACAATGTTAGTTTGTATTTCACTTTAAAAGTACAGGTTTTGTTCAATACTATCTTGTAATATATCTTCCAAACTGATATTTTACAATATTATCTTCTATTATACTTCACAAGTACAAATGCTGAATGATACTACATTGTATTACACTTGACAATTAGGTATTTAAAACAAGCGTAGCTACCTGTAGACTTCTGGTTCAGCCGTGGGAGGTGCAGATGGTGGTGGAACTCTAGGTGTCATCAACAATTTCCTGAAGTCATCATTTGTCATGGGATGGCTGCTAGTTCATACAAAAATAGAAAGTTTATAATTTGTATTGCTTAGTATATGTATCTATGACTTCATCTATACCTTCTAAAGTTATCTAGTTTCTAACTGAAGAAAGCGACACAGCCAAAAGTTCCTATATCTTAACCTATATTAAAATACTCAATGATAAATATTTTTACGTCTCTGGTCGTTTGTTAATTTCCAGTATAAATTCTTCTCGAGGAACTTTAGCGATACAACTCCTTTCTTAAATAAAACTAGTTAATTCTTTCTCAATACAACTTTGCAATACATAGAATTTCCATGGTCACTTTAACTTAAACACATGCTATAATTCACAACGATTCATGCACTTTACTCACGGTCACTATTGCTCACTTGACTCAATTATCTGTCTCTATATCTGTCTATATGCCATTATTTATGCCGTCACTTTTTATCTTCGCTTTATTTCCCGAGCTAATATACTAAAATAGAGGGCGCCTAGAAAAGAATAGAGTTGCCAGGAAAAGTCATGATCCTTCTAGAAACTCATGAAGAGTTACCAGCATCACGTGACTTCCACTGTCGTAACATTATCCCTTCCTTAGTATTGTTCGTCCCAAACAATAGCCACTTACATTAAACCAATAGATAATTAACAATAACTTAATTAAATGTAGAGAATTCACAAACACAAAAATGGAAATTAAACAAAGTCTCTTAATTTTACAGGACATTTCTTCTTTCGTACTGGTCTCCGTCTCGTTGGCTTCTGCTTCACGTGGGATTCATCTGCTCCATCAAGAAATGTCCCATTATCGGTAACAGTCACATCAGTGGTAGTAACTTCATTAAGGGCTTCACTGTTTCCCTTCTCACAACCCAGTAGAGTTTCTTCTTCGATAGTGGCTTTTTCAGATGACACGTCTTCAGCAGTGTCATTTGTTCTGTTGTTCATTTAGTTCCAACTGAAATGTCCTGGACCGTGATAACGCCAAAGCCTGTTGGCATGTACCACCTTTGGATTACCTCGCCGACCACATTTTATTCGGAAAGTCACGTCTGAAATACGATCCACTATGTCATATGGGCCTTCCCATGGAGAAGACAACTTAGCAGACTTCCATTTGGTCTTCCTAGGATTATACAACCACACCTTGTCTCCTGTTACAAAGCTGACTTCAGTAGATCTCTTATCATAACATAGCTTCATCGAATCAGCAGACGTTTTCAAGTCTGAACACACTTGATGGTGAATATCATCCATCCTTTCCGATAACACTTTCACAAACTCTGACACATTTTCAGGCAACTCCTCAT